TCATGCATGTTTGCTAACGAGTTCTTTTGTTTTGGGCACGGAGTACGATGTAAGTATTTCCGCTTTAGCATATCGCATGAGTGTGAATGTTGCATGACAGCATGCTTAACATGTGGCTAGATGCTTATGTGTTATAAACTGCTTGGATGCCTGTGGTGAAGGTTGGATTGTTTGAGTTGGAAGAACTCATTGAAATCCGTTTTTAGCCTACGTGCGAGTAGCAAATCCAAAACATTTTCCAAAACAAACGGATATGCAATGTTTACTTCCAAATTAGACAATCTAGTCTATACTTGTTTGCTGCGCGCATAACATAGTAATTCTAGCTAATAAACGGAGTAAGAATACATAAAGTTTTCAAAAACGGATATCACGGTTAGTAGAGGCCGGTCTTCGGACCGGGCGAAAGGGGTGCTCATAGCTGACCTTCCCCGATCGTACCCAAGCTCCCGAGCCGAGACAACCTCGGTGATGACGGACATGTGGCCTCGCGGCACCGAGTCAGGGTTTCCTAAATTTTCCCATTTTAAAAAATATTTAGGTGGCGACTCTGTATCTGGCAAAGCAGTCCATGTTTGGCACTACTTTTTCAAAAATCGGTTTCTCAAAACGATTTGCCAGATTTGGACTCTTTGGTTCAGATTAAGAACCGCGACACAAAATCGCGAGTCCAAACTGTAGCGTGAGGCCCCACGCGCGGGCGCGTCTGCACTTATATATAACATATGTGTGTGTGTGTAGGGTTTGAACACTCACACACAAACCAACTCACACTCACACAACTCTCACACATACACAGACCCATACAATGTCTTTCATCTCTCTCTCTCTCTAAAAGCTTCCTATCACTGCCGATCTCCCTCCCTCCGCTGTCATCCTCTCCCTCCTCCTTCGTTGTCCTCCTTTCTCTTCTCTCATCACCGCCGATCTCCCTTCTCCTCCACTGTCTTCGGTAAGAGAGAGTTGTGGTTCGGGATTTCGATCTTGGCGAAAGTGAACTGAAATTTTCAAAGTAATTAATCGCGGCGAAAGTGAACTCAGCTGTGGCTAGGGTTTTCGATCCCCAAACTCAGATATTGTATTTTTTTTTTTGGTGTTTTTATTTTTGATTGTTTGTAGTGTTATGAGAAAACAAGTCAAACCCCCAAAGTTAAGGTCTTTGATTGATTAATGATTCGGGTAATGGATTGTCTGATATTTATTTTGTTCGTTGATGTACTTGATTGTATCAAATTCTCTTTTACTCTGAACCCATAAAATTTAGGGTCGAGGGTTGTGTAGATAAGTTGTTTTGGGGTTTTTAAAGTTAATGTCTTTGATGGATGTAATGATTGTCAGAATTTTTTTTCTTCTTCCTATGCACTGGTTTTATCAAATTCTATTCAATCCAAGAATTTAGGGTTGAGGGTTGTGTAGATAAGCTGTTTTGGGTATTTTAAATTCCTTTTATTAGTTGTTGTATATGTAAATTGGGAACAAGGGTATGAATTTGGCAAAAAGTTTATTCAAACAAGATCATGATCTTCGTATGTAATTCTATTTGTGCAATTGAGTTGTGCACTACTTCAAATTTTTCTTGCCTATTTTACTATTTTAAATTCTAAATTCGCATTTTTTTTTTCTCTTGGGACTGTGATGTCTCTTTTGTGCTCAGAAAAGGTCGGGGATTTTTTCGGGGTCGGGGAAACCCGATCCCTGTTAGGGGGCGGGGGGGGTGATGGGTTTCCTGTCGAGGATCGAGGACGGGGACGGGGACTTTCATGGCTTCGGGGACGGGGACAGGGACTTTCATGGCTTCGGGGATCGGGGATGGGAAATGCAATCCCCAGCCCGGCCCGGCCCTGCCCCGTTCCGCCTCGTTGCCATTCCTAATCGAACTAGGGCCGGTTCTATGAAAATGAAGCGGCTGAATTCTCTAGAATCACTCATGAACAGCCAGGAGCGTTCAATGCCAAAATGAACACAACCGTGAGAACCACGATGTGTTAGAAGATATTTTGTGTAAAATCTATTGTCTTGGCTTACACAAACGGCTGAACAATTCAAAGCATTGCGTCCATTGGTTAGCTAGTAAGTCTGATAGGTTATCACTACGGAAGGTTCAAAGCCGAAAGTTACCTATCTTGATGCAAGATATTTTCGATTTATACTCTTTCGACAATTTTTGTATATTATTGCATTTTTGTTATCATCAAATTCCATTCATGTTAGGGATTGTAAGAAATTGTTTTGGAAAAACAAATTTTTCCTTAACTTTGATCTATTTTTTTAGGTGGGACCCATGCGCTAAAGTTGGCGGATCTAAGTGGTAACGCGTTTTATGTTGCGTTGTGATTCACGTAGTATATTTGGTTGTTTAAAACCATTATTGAGTGAATGAGAAATTGAAGCCAAAGTGAGCTCCATGGAAATGGAGTTTGTAGTGAAAATTCTTTAAAGGTTTAAATTAAAGGCTTGCCCCACATTGGTTTGGTGAGAAAACTTTTATGGGTTTATAAGGTTTGAGTTTACAATTTGGGGAGGGCTTTAAGGGGTACCTTAAGTTTGTAGAAGGGAGAGGTTATGGGCAAAGTGGGTTAGACCCATTGGACCAAAAAATAAACACACGCGCGCGCGCCACCGCCGTCTGTCCGGTCGGTAAGTCGGGTTGGGCTAGGCTGGGCTGCACCTGGGCTTGGGCTCAGGTGTGTGGTGTGAGGTTGGGTTGGGATTGTTTGGCCTAATACTTATCTTTTTGGGCCAAAAACATTTGAATTTATATTTTTTTTGGCAAAATAAAATCTGTCCAGTTTTTTCCCACCCAAACAGTTTTATATCTATTTAAATTCTGTCCGAACATATTCAATTTCAGTATCTGTTCAAATTTCAAACCCAAACTGTTCTGTATATGTTGAAACAGTGCCTTACCTGTTCAATTCAAACCATACAGGTTTTTATCTGTCCAAACAGGTTCCATACCTGTTGGATTCAAATTTATACAACCACCTTTACATCTATAAATATGCAGTCCCTCATTTGGTTTTTCACTCAATTTTTTCGTACTCAAATCTGTTATTGTTTTTTGCATTTTGCTACATTTAATTTTTTGTGAGAAAGCGTGTAAACACAAAGTATGTTCATTGTGCGAATAGTTTGTAGTGCTGGTATTATTCGTTGTTGATCATTTTATTCTAAGAAATAGACGTCCACAATCTGAAAGCACCGTGGAGAGGACGAACCTATCTTAAAGACATAGTGTTAAACACTGGACTTGATCAAATTTTTGTTCAAAAAATTAATAAGGTAAGTAATTAATTTACTTTTCTGTTTTATTATTTTTCTTTTTCTTTTTCTGTTTCTGTTTCAGATTTTGATTTTGCTTTTGTAACAAAATAAAAATCTGTTTTTTTTTTTATATTCTGGTTTGATTTTTGTAATCAAACAATCTCTTTCATTTCCTTTATTTCTTCTGTGTTCTGTTTGGTGTTAAGCACGTAAACAAAATTTATTCGTAATACAGTGAAGATTGTCTAACAGTTCACTTCCTGGTGTAAAATCCATAGAAACTATATTTGAAAATTCATTTCACTGGCTGTGGGGCTTTCCCTTTGCTCATTATTCGGAGCAGGCCGTTCTGCAGGAGTAGAAGTATAAACTCTAAGCGGTATACGATTTTTTGAAAATCTAAGACCTTTAACAAAAGATTCATGTTGATTAAAGGATATAAAATTTCTAGAAGTTTTGGGAATATCAACATCATAAGGTAGACTTCTAGATATACTGGTACTAGACATACTCCTACCAAGTATTTGGGGGGTTGGTCTACAGAAATTAAGATCAATATCTCCATCTTTGCTTTTAATAATGTCATGTATTTCATGATGTAGTACAGGAATAGAAGGCATAGCTGTAGACACCCCATTTTGACCGGCCCTAGGACTTGGGCGCTTTCTTTTGATTACCCGATGATGACAATTAGAATGTGCTTCTCACAAAATTCTCAGTAAGAAAGATGGAATTTAAGTTTTAATCCCAACGTTCACCCATTTTTTTGGCCAAACTATTTTAGACCTTAAAACCCTCTTTTCAAAATATGTTTTTTAAATGTTTCTATGATGTCCCGAGGCTCCCATTTCGATTAAAATATTGCACTTTTCAGTAAACCGAGTAAGGGCAAAGTGGAAATAAATGGAAGGGAGGTGAAATTTTTGAAAAATATTTAAAAATATCTTCTTTATAGGTTTGAAGTTTAAGGAAATAGGAGGGGATGAAAGAAAGCTGGTTTAGGAAAAGGATGAGTATCAAATCATTAAGAAGGAAATGAGCAGCCTTCACTAAATTAGGCATTTCTCTTTGTACACTTGGAATTTAAATGTGAGGCCACCACCATTGGAAAGTAGACTTCTGGGGCTTCAATTTAGACCCAAGAACCACCTTAGCCAAGTCTAAATAAGGGAGATATGCCCATTTGAAGTTAAGCTTAAGAGCAGATTTTGTTGACCCAGCCCAAGACAGCCTTCACTAAATTAGGCATATCTCTTTGTACACTTGGAATTTAAATGTGAGGCCACCACCATTGGAAAGTAGACTTCTGGGGCTTCAATTTGGACCAAAGAACTGCCTAAAACCAAGTCCATATGGGGGAGATATGCCCATTTGAAGTTGGGCTTAAAAGCAGATTTTGTTGATTCGACCCAAAACAGCAATAGCCCATTTTTCTTGGTTTTGGTTCGGTTGGGATAACCCATTTACCTATTTTTTTAAGCCATTCAAGTGCATCCACTCATCCTCCATTATACCTAATCATTCTCCATAGTCAAAAAGATGTTTTGTTTGCATCCATAAAGGAGTATCCCATGCAACCACTTTGAAAATTTGCCCTCCTATCACATTCTTGTCTCCCACCTTCTTTTTGACCTTTACTCTCCCTCATTGCCTATATAGAATGATCATATTGTAAGAGAGGAGGGGGACCACGAAATTGAAGAGAAAGGAGTGAGACAAGAGTGAAAAAAGAGAGAAAATTTGAGTTTTTGAGCCAAAAATATTCCTATCTTCCATATACACCCCATACCTTCCATAGCTACTGAAATTCCTCATTTCCATACACCAAAACCACTCCAAAAATTCTGATATAGCCAAAGATCAATCGCCTCGATCATAAGGAAGAATGCTTAGTGATTGAAAGTGAGAAAAACTTGAGAGTTAGCCACTTTCCATACCACAAACTCCATAAACTCCATAATTTCGAATTGAGGATTTGAGAACACACTTCCTACACTTGAGGGTGATCAAGAGGAAGTTTAGAAATCAAGAAGTTCAATCTTTCTTTGGAAGGTGAATTTTTAATCTTTCATTTTCTTATATTCTATATCTTATATTTATATGCTTGCTTCTTATTTCATTGTGTTTTGTTATAATCCAAGTAGTTTGTTTATCTCATATTTATTTTCTTACTTTATATTTCATAGTGTGTTGTTATAATCCTAGTGGTTTGTTTAGCTCATAATTATTTATTTATTTATTTTTATTCGCATACTTTAATTTCATATTAGTTTTGTTGTAATCTTGCATGTTTTACCTCATATTTTTTTTTTTTTCGTGTATTAGTCTCATATTAGTTCCGTTATAATCTTGCATGTTCTATCTTATATTTATTTTATTGCTTTAGGTATTTATTTTCTTTTTTTTTAATCTAACCGGTAGTGGTTAGTTGAGCCACCTACATATTTTTTTGTTTGTTCCTTTTCTTGGTTTCGCAACAAGACAGGTTTTGCTTGGCCTAGTTCGCCGGCCGGCCTATTTGGCCGGTCGGTTAGCTTCTTCTGAACAAGATGGCCAATTTCCGCCGGCGGTTCTAAAGAACATGAACCTTTTATTTTATTTATTTATTTTATTTTGAGTGTATTGTGAGGTTTTTATTTTGTTGTAATATTCTCCTCATCTCTCTCTAATTTGGTTTGTAATTATTCTTTAAAATGTTGTAATAATTCCCCCGCCCGCTTCTTTCTATCCCATTCTTTTACTTGCTTTCTTTATTTGTACATAAACATCATATTTATTTTTCATCATAGTTATGCTTTGCATCCATGTTTCATGCATCTTGATTTGGCTAAGTTTGCATTTGTGGATTTAATTAATTCCTATGTGATTATGTGCGCTACCTCATGTTCTTGAGATGATTCACATATCATATTTTAGAAGCCGAATCTTTAGTTGCATATCATGAGTGAATTGCATTAGGGTTTTGTATATAAGATCATGCATATTTTACTAACTTTGTTTTGCAGCTTGTTCGTGGGACATCAAACATATGAGTTTTTATGCTTTAGCATCCCGTGTGTGTGTGTTTTTCTTACTATGTCTAACATTCTACCATGAGGCTAGTTGCTTATGTGATATAACTCTATGAATGCCAGTGGATGGGGGTTGTGTCGCTTAATTTGGAATGATGTTGATTTTTCATGCTTGTAAACTCAATTTATTTGGGTTGTACATCGTCAAAACTCTTTCAAAATGCATGATATCAAATTGTTCCAAAATGAATGGCATAGTTTATACTTGTATGCTTCACATAGTAAATTTTAAGATTTATTAACTAATCAGAACATGAACATATAAATAAAATAAAATTCATATCATGGTTAGTAAAGGCCGATCTTTGATCGGGTGGCCGGGGGTGCTCATTATTGACCTTCCCCTCTCATACCTAAGGTTCCAAGCCAAGCATCCTTGGTTACGACGAACAGTGGCCTTGGCACGAGTCATGGGTTTCCTAATTTTTCCAAAATAATATTAGGTGGCGACTCTGAGATCTGATGATGCAGTCCATTTTTGACAAAATTGCAATAAAATGGATTTTCAATAAAAGTTGCCAAATCTGGACTCTCATCTATGTTTCACATTGCACTCGTGAGAATAGATCAAAGAGATCTTGGGGGTCCGAACTGTTTAACGCGCGCGGGTACCCCCCGGGCATGTTACAATAGCTTGCTGAAGTTTCCAATGTTGAGGAAATTCAACTTGATTCTATTGTATTTTTCTTGGTATTGAAACATTAGAAGCATACATATTAGTTTCAAATAAAACTATTTCTTCAGAAGCACACTTTTTTTAGCATAAGGAGAATGAGTACTAAGAACTTTAAAATAAATTATACATATGAGAGATATAGGTCTAGTGCCTGGCTTAAAATTATAGCCTTTAGTAAGTATTCGAACATTTAAAACATCAAGAATATTAGCATCTTCTAAAGTAACAATTAAATGCGGATAGACATGAAAATAAACTGGTCCTTAAGACAAACTTGTCTCAACTACTCCCATAAGGGAGTCTTGCCAGTCCAAACATCTTTCATCTCTCAAACTAAGAGTTAGACAAGTAATTCTGCCCGATAGAGTCATAAGTTTAAGGGCTATTTGTACCAGGCCAATATGAATATAAACATCCTCCTTATAATATGAAAATAAATCTACGGCTTTAAATAAATTATGACTTTCATCATTATGTTCAATATGAATATTAGATTCTACGGTCTTAGATACTGCGGTTGCTACTGATAATATTTATGCACCACTTGGAGCAGTTTATGCTATCTCGTTACTCATATGGTTGTTCTATGACCATATATGATTAATTTATTATTATTATACTATGCATACAAGTAGTAATAAACTTGGCTCTGATATCAATTAGGTGTGTTAACTATAACTTTGCAAGCACGTCTATCAACGACTTATGAAAAAGTATTGTTATACACTACAACAAAAACATACTTTAGTGGCACTACACTAGTGGCATATTTTTAGAAAATGCCACAAAAAATGATATTTAGTGGCACGCTTTTGAAAAATGCTACAAAACGACAAACATAAAAGGCTCAGTGACATTTCAATGAACAAGTGTCACAAAACTACAACAAAAACATACACTAGTGGCATATTTTTAGAAAATGCCACAAAAATGATATTTAGTGGCACATTTTTGAAAAATGCCACAAAACGACAAACATAAAAGGCTCTAGTGACATTTCAATGAACAAGTGTTACAACACTACAACAAAAACATATTTTAGTGACACCATACTAGTGGCATGTTCTTAAAAAATGTCAAAAAAAAATATTTGGTGGCATTTTTTAGAAAAATGTCATAGAGCCACAAACATACAAGGTTCTAGCGGCATTTCAATTAAAAAAAGTGTCACTTCACTACAACAAAAATGTCACTACAAAAACTTTTTATGAATATTTGCAATGACATTTTTGAAAAAATGTCAGGACACTAGGTAGGTGCAAATTACTTTTTATGACACTTAGGTGAAAAGTGTCATAAACAAATATTTTATAGCATTTTGAGAAATGCCACTAAGTCAAAAACTTTCCAAGCTTATAATGATATTTTTGAAAAAATAAAAATGCCAATATATTTTTAAAATTTTTAGAATGCAGTATATGATTAAAAATAAATAAATTAAACTCAATATACACTACGGGAAAAAGCATATTCGGTAACTAAATTTCCTGACAAAAAAAAATTTGGTCGCGGAAAGTATAGCTTTCAGCAACCAAAACAACATTAGTAGCCAAAAGTAAAGCTTTTGGCGACTAAACAATTTTAGTAGTCAAAAGTCTACAATTGGCGACTAAAACTAAGTTTGGTCGCTGATTATATGGGTTTTAGTGACTAAAAAATTTTAGTAGTCCAAAGTAAAGCTTTTTGGCGACTAAACAATTTTAGTAGCCAAAAGTCTACAATCGACGACTAAAAAATAAGTTTAGTCACCAAAAGTTGTCATTTTTAGCACGGGAGAACTAAAATCCTAAGGCGGGAATTAAATTTTTTCAAAAGTGGTCATTTTTAGCGCGGGAGAACTAAAATCCTAAGGCGGGAATAAAATTTTTTGGTGACCAAAATTTTGTTAGCTGAAAGTGCATCTTCGGCGACCAAATCCGATTTTGGTTGACAAAAGTTAAGTTTTGTAGCAACTAAAAAATAATTAGTAGCCAAAAGTATAGAATTGGAGACTAAAAAATATTTTTAGTCACCAAAAGTGGTCTTTATTTTTATTTTGGTAGTAAATAGTTTATTTTACATAAATTATGTTCAATAAAATAATTATGTTTATACATATACTTTTATATTAATATGGATGTATGTATTATATAAATAATATATGTTGCATATATAATCACGTGGTGCTATAGAGGTGTAGTGGGAAGAGTGCGGTGTATAAGGTTTATGGTGCGGAAGGTTGGCGGTTCGAGTCTCCACAAGAGCGGATCAAATTGTTCTACAACGAATTATCGTCATGAATAACACTTGATAGCGTCACGAATAGTGCCTACCATGACATTAAAGTGCCACTGAAAGGTTTTAGTTTTAATGGTGTAATGACACTTACAAGTGTCACCAACTCTTTTTTTAATGACGCTTGATACTGCCATAAATAATATCTACCATGACATTAAAATGTCATTAAAAGTTTTTAGCCATGATGGTGCAGTGACACTTGCAAGTATCTACCGTGACACTCGTATCTACCGTGGCACCGATAGAAGTGGCACTTGTTCAAAATGCCACAAGACCAAAAAATGTCATTAGAAGAATAGTTTTGTGGCACTTTCAAGTGGCACTTTCAAATGTCACTAAACTAAAAAAATGTTATAGTGTTATTTTTTTATACTAAAAATATATTGTCTTATTTATTTATTTATGTATTCTTTCATTATTTGCATTAGTTTCGATTATTTTAATTTTACAAAATATGATACCAACGTAATTATATAAAAATTATGATACTTGTTGCATTTTTTTTTGTTCAAAATCTCAAGAGTGATCAAGGTAATTTATCTTTTTAATAATTTACAATTAACCATCATGAGATTTGAAAAAACATATGATAAAACCCATAAATTTAATATAATTACACTATCATTCATTAATTAGTAAGACAAAAATAATCATAATTAATACAAATTGGGGATAACACACATAAATAATTATGAACAAAACATTTATTTTAACATAAAATCTATAAAGAAGTGTAGTTTTTTTACTAATACAACTAATGAATTATTAATAAAAGCAAGGGAAAACACAACTCAGTGAAACTTGGAAAATTAATTATTAATTGTTGGAAAAATTTATCATCAGATATTTGAATGTTTGTAAAATTTATCATTAATTTTTAAATATTTTTTCAAACCTAACATGTAATTTTTCCGAATAAGTTGACAACTTTTTCATGAATCAACATTTGAACATAATATAATGTAATTATTTGAAAATTGTAAGTTTGATGTATTATTTATTTTTAACTACGACAAAGGTTAGTGTAATTAACTTATTCACTATAAATATCTAATAATTTGTATTTTTTTATTTTTTGTATTTCCTGCTATATTTGGTATAATGGAAGTGAATGAAAAATATTTTAAAAAATAAATAAGTAAACAATAATTTTTTGCTTTAACTTTTAAACTATGAAAAAAAGATATATATGCTAATAATGTGTTATCGATAACACCATGTTGTTACTTCCACTATTGTTGATACCACTATTATCGCCATTGATACCACCCTGTCAATTATTGTGTCGTCTGCCACCACTTTACCGTCAGTAACCATTAGTACTTTAATCATATATATATATATTATTAAAAATAGTAATTTTTTTATATTTAGGTGACACATTATAAGAACTTATTTTTTTAAAAAAGAGGTACGTCAGCATGTATTTTTTTAATTACATTTAAAATTCTACATAAATTCAAACCTAATTTAAATTATATTAATTTTACCTATTTCATATGGACTCTATTTGACAAATATTTATTTTTCATCATAAATTGAGATAATCCACAAGCCCAATACTAATTTTGCATTCACATTTTTCTTCTTAATTATTTCAAGGGTATTATAATTTATTTTTTAATGCTAAATTGCCTTATTGTTTTCTTATTTTTCTTTTCATTATTATATACCCAATACC